CCCCAAAACCCCAAAACCCCGTATAGATTAATTGCTTCTAAATATATAAATATCCAAATATAGATAATATAATATAAAATAACACTTAAATTCAGAATATGTAATATCCCAAGGTTTCAGGCCTACACACTTCTAATAACGATGATTAGTTTTCATCATATTTGATTATTCAAATGCCGTAGATAATAGACAAGGCTTAAGAAAATGATGTTCCGCAATGGAAACTAAACCGTATGCAAGTCTAATAAGATCCATTTTACAAGTCATTCTATTCAAAATTCTACATTGAAAAAGATGGAGTTATCTCACTTTCACTCAAAGACTTGACGATTATATGCAACATGATACTTACTGGCGCACTTTTGGGAATGCTATTTACATCATGTTAGACTGGTTTATATGTTTGTGAATATGGAAGTTTTCCTTACATTTCTCAAATTATCAAAGAACCTATTTATGTGAGAATCTATATTTTCTTGACTACTATATACATGTTTGGAGTACACTAACTTAACATCAGAGCTTTCCATAAGAAGTTACATGGCGTGATCTCTAAATTCCACAATGATATGATTATGCACCTTGGTCTTATCTCAACAGTAACTTTACCTTTGATAGGTCTGTTTGATATGGATTTATTCCCTGCCTCCCATGGTATTTTTGCTCTATATTTTTTCTTGACCTTTGGAGGCTATTGCATTATGCTGTCTTCAGCTCTTTCAACAAATATTGACAAGTTTCCAGATTCTGATCACTTTGGCATCATTATTATCAAATATGCATCCTATGGACTGTTTGTCACAATCATTACATATTTAGTAGCATTTTCATATATTCCGGTAGGCCCAACTGCTTACATTGAGTGGTTCATGGTCCTCTACTTAGTAAATATATTCACCATAGCTTCATTCACTAATCAGTATTATGACTCAGTCCATGATCCCGCTGTTGCCTGAAATCATTGAAGATGGAAATATTTTATCCTCTATGAAGAATGATTCAACATTTAAAAATCTTTAAAAATAAACTCTGATCTAATATGATGCAATATTAAAAAAAATTATAAATAGCTATGAATCTGATGTAGGGGTTTTGGGGTTTTGGGG